ATGCTTCCAGGCTTGGCAGCGGCGCTGGGATCGTTGTGTTCACTCCCAGGGGAACTACTTCGAGGGTGATGGATGAATTTAATACCTGAGATAAGTGTACGGGTTTTTATACGCGCAGTCTGGAAACCTTCCGATCGCACCTCGTATATTTTAACCTAATGCCACAGCCGAATGTGCGGAACTCGTTCTTCGAAGTGGCTCAGGTACAAATATCGGCCCTGATATCTGCTATCCTGAGTGAGAGTTTGTGTGTTTACTCAGTCCCTCCGTGTAAATAAATGGATGGTACTGAAGCACAGGTCACGACCACTGCCTTCAATATCCTTTTCAACCCATTGTTCATTAATCATCCTATCACTCAAATCCATAGAAGTAATAAAATATGGGATATATAAGTTAAATAACTAAGTTATTTTCGTTTCCTGCATGTGTCCCTCTAATATAACGTTCACTTCTGCAATACAGTTACTAACGTGTTTGATAAAACTATATTTTTAAAATTATATGCGCTACAAAAGGTAGTCTCTTAGTGGTAGTTATAATTAGACAATTTTATACATTTCAAATTAGCTCTAACGTACAGCCTGAAACTATCTGCACTGGTTTGAAAATTACAAGTGACCGAAAACATAGTCCTCAGAAAAATATCTGGACCTACGAGGGATGAAGCAAGTCAGAAGTTAAGGACATTACAAGGCGAGGAACTTTATGGTGACTGCAGCTGGGTGTGTGTGGGACGTGGTTGAATCATAGGGGAAATTGTTGGGCTGGCTCAAGATCGCCTCTGGTATTAGTTAGCTGGATGTTTTAATACATAGGCCAGTACAGCTCTGCATTATTATTCATGTGCTACAATTTAAACTGGTACAGATTCATAGCAACTCAGCATTATCAATTACATAAAGGACATGCTTGTAAATGTTTAAGCTGACAAAAGCAGTTTCTCTCTACTCACACTTAAATGAAGATTAAAGGTAAGCAAATAAACATACAAACGTAACTACACAGTCCGTATGTTTACTGTCTCATTCATCTGTAGACATAACAACAGTTACTGCAGTAACGATACCTCATCTAAAAAGGGTCTTTTCCCCTTCGTTTCCTCCAGAACAACATCTGACTGATTTCAAATAATTAATATGCCTGTATTAATTGGCCAGTTTCAATATAATTGTAATTTTACGGTGAAATTTATTATAAGTAGGTATTTTTCTCGTTGTAGTTATTTTCCAAACACGGCCCTGAGTCAAGGAGAAAAGTAGTTGCCATACCTGGAGACGTATCGAAGTCAGGACTGGCGCTCCACGAAGACGACAGGAATGTCCTGATAGACACTGTGTCTGTAGTGTTCCATGCGGCCGCGACTATCAACTTCAATGCAGCACTGCAGTCTGCAATCAACATCAACCTCATTGGAACAAAAAGAGTTTTACAACTCTGTCATCATATGAAAAATATAAAGGTAAGAAAACATGGCTTTGGCCTTACTGTTCCTTCCGTCGGTAGGCGTGCTAATTCATGTAAGATTTGAGGTTTTCACAGCGGTGAGTATGAAGATTTCTGTCTTCTGGGTTGTTGCGCCGTGTAGTATGGTAGATGTATAGATGAAAGTGCCAATTGGGTGGAGGTGGCTAGGTTTATAGGAACCGGAGAGTGAATAGAGTAGCGATTCAGTATGACCTCCGAAACGTTGATAAACATCTACCATACTACTCTGGAATAACGACATTACTTGTTTTACATGATGGCGTTTCAGGTTATCCCCATCGATTCCAGATTTATTTAGCTGAAGTCTGGCTACCGTGGAGGGCAAACCAGAAGAATTTCTAAAGTCTGAAAAAGTGAACGGTCTGGAATGAGAATACTTTACTCATTGTCTCTCGTTTCATCTGGCAAGACAATACAGAAGCTTCTCAGAAAAATGTTCAACGTCGCGGTCGAGTGGCTAGTATTTCTGCTTCGTATTCGAGAGTTTTCGATTTTAAATCATGATTACAGACTGACTACCCTAAAGTTTTAATGGTTGTACTCAGTTCGTTTAGGCCAGAGCGAGCTTCCAACACGACCGCCTTTCATCTTTTCATACTATTAATGCGTTCATCATTCTCGAAATAACGTGACCCATTTGGTCTAATTGAAGATACAAAACGATATGAGCTCAGAGTAAGGTTCGCTGTAAGTGACTGCGTGGACAGCTTCAACACTTCACTGTTAACGCCGACACGTCGTCGTCACTTTAACGCCACCTGCAGCAAAAGACGTGTTCGAAACACGCCATGTGGTCGAAGTGCCCTCGACTGAGTCCTGTCCTGTTCCTAACGTTTGACCACATACAGGCTGCGCACGCCGTTTCAGAACATCCCCGGAAACAAACGACACATACGAGGTGCGATCGGAAAGTTTCAAGACTGCGCCTATAAAAACCCGTACACTTATCTGAGGTATTAAATTCATCCATCACCCTCGAAGTAGTTCCCCTGGGAGTGAACACAACGATCCCAGCGCCGCTGCCAAGCCTGGAAGCATCCCTGGAAATCTTTCTTTGTCAGCCTGTCAAGCACCATCTGCGATTCTGCCTGAATCTCTTCTATCGTCTCAAATCTCCTTCCCTTGAGCTGAATTTTCATCTTTGGGAAGAAGAAGAAGTCACACGG